ACAGTCATCACCCAGGCCTTTGAAATGCATCCTGAGTATGTTTTGCCAGGTCAGTTTTACATATCCAGGACCAGATGTCACCAGCTTCCACTGATAGCACAGACACAGCATCTGGGTTGCTTTGCAGAAGCCAGAGGGGTCTTGTCTGCAAACAGCTCTTGATTTATTCTCATTAGGAACACCAGCCTTTTAAACCCTCGAGGAGACTGAGGACAGCTAGTCAAAAGTTCGGGTGACACCTGAGAGCTCTTTTCTCCTTGCAAGGCTGAGACTATTAGCAGAAGCCAGAAATTAAACCCCATTTTCCTTTGCTTCTTGATCCTGAAAAATACAGCATATATTGTATTGTTGAAGGATTTCATGGCCAGAATCACTGGGTTATTGTGAGTTTTCCAGGCTGTATGGTCATGTTCCAGAAGCATTCTCTCCTGACATTTTGTCTGCATCTATGGCAGGCATCCTCAGAGTTTGTGAGGTCTGTTAGAAATTCCAACAGACCTCACAACCTCTGTGTTTGCCTGCAGGTTAAATGTCAGGAGATAATGCTTCTGGAACATGGCCATACAGCATGGAAAACTCATAACACAGCATATATTGTACAGGAGCAGTACCCAAATTTTGGTCCTCTGGGTGGTTTGGGCTTCATCTCCCAAAATGCCTGGCCACTGGATCAGCTGGCAGGGGCTTCGGGGTGTAGAATGCCAAAACACCTGAAGAACCAAAGTACTGTTGTTGAATAAAACAGGTGTGCAATCCCAGTTTAAACAACTGAGAGTAATAGTCAGCTCCCTAACAAACATAGGTTTTGAGCCAAAGTTTCTTCTGCTTAAGACAAGGATAAGAATAGTTTTGAAGTTCAAATTCCCTACCGATAATATCTTCTATATTACATTTGAACAAATTACCTTTGAAAAAAGCAACAAGCACACTTTCCTTTCCCTACTTTGCCCTCACTTAATTCTATGATCTCATTCATTACAGCACTATTGTAGTTGCAGAATGTCTGGGCAACTTTATTGAATTACCTGCCACTTCAGCATAACAAGTCCTGTACCATCTCCAGCATCTGAATATTCTAATTCACCCACACCGAAAGCATAGCATTTCTTTCTCTTTAAGAAACACTGAGGTAATGGACAAAGTCGGCACAGTTCAGTTTTGTGACTGATTCTTCTTAAATCTGGTTACAGATGACACACCTACTTGCCTCTGTGCATGTTTTCTTTAGAATAGTTTCACTTAGTTTAGTAGAACTTGCTCCCAAGTAGATACTAAGAAGGTTGCTGCTGAAAGATGAAACACTTTAAAGCTTTTCACTAGTACCTCTTTATCACACTGCAATATGTGCATATGGCCAGAAACAGCAGATGCCCAGCTAGGATTAGAACAGTGGTTCTCAACCTTCCTAATGCCACAACCCCTTAATACAGTTCCTCATGTTGTGGTGACCCCCAACCATAACATTATTTTCATTGCTACTTCATAACTGTAATTTTGCTACTGTTATGGATCGTCATGTGATATTTGTTATGCAGGAATCATTTTCCTTCACTGGACCAAGTTTGGCACAAATACCCAATATGCCCAAATTAGAATACTGGTGGGGTTGGGGGGTTGATTTTGTCATTTGGGAGTTGTAGTTGCTGGGATTTATAGTTTGCCTACAATCACAGAGCATTCTGAATTCCACTAATGATGGAATTGCACCAAACTTGGCACAGAGAACTCCCACGACCAACAGAAAATACTGGAAAGGTTTGGTGGGCACTGACCTTGAGTTTGGGAGTTGTAGTTCACCAACATCCAGAGAACACTATGGACTCAAACAATGATGGATCTGAACCAAACTTGGCACAAATACTCAATATGCTGAAATGTGAACACTGGTGGATTGCGGGAAGAATAGACTTTGACATTTGGTAGTTGTAGTTGCTGGGATTTATAGTTCACCTACAATCACAGAGCATTCTGAACCCCACAAACTATAGTATTGGGCAAAACTTCCCACACAGAACCCTCATGATTAACAGAAAATACTGTGTTTTCTGAGGGTTTTTGGCAACCTCTCTGACATCTTCCCCTTGAGACCCCCAGGTTGAGAAATGCTTTGTTAGAAGTAAAATCACTAAGAGGAATCTTTGCTCCAGTTCAGCTTCTCAAAGAGCTCCAAAAGCAGGCAGCAGGAAACCTCTAAACACACACACACACACACACCCTCCCTCTCTAATCACTTAGGAGGAAGATAGGAAGATTAGCAAAGGAGGGGGAGGAGGAAATTACAGCTAACCCTGGCGGAGCATAATACCACACTATGTGTTTTGGACCCAAAGGCTGCAGTTCTCTGCTCTGTTTACTTAGCTGTAAGTTCTGTTGAACTCAGTAGGATCTGCCTCTGAAGAAGCTCACACAGGAATAGTCTGAAATATAGCTGAAATGGTGCTCCATTTGCAGCAACATACACAGTTGGGCTGAGAGGGGAAACTTCTGATATTACAAAGCAAAAACCGTGATGAGGATATGGCCTCTTATATAGTCAGCAGCCAATATGGCAAGGGATTACCTCTGGGTAGAGGATACAGCATTTTCATTGGCTCCCTATGACACTGCAATCGTTTTGCTAGGACTTTTTTTTCTGTGGCTCCTTGTTTATATCATATCAAGATATATTTCACAGTGAAGCGCCTTGGGGGAGAACCTTTTTTCTTTTTATTAAACTTAGCGTTGTGAAAAATCAAGGTGAGCAGATCCATTAAACCACTGCAGTACACGGAGGAGGAGGAGGAGGAGGAGGAGGAGGAGGAGGAGGATAAAACAAACAGAAGTCGCTTTCCATTTTAAAGCGATGCCATCCTCATAACCATTCCAATCTACAAGCGGTTGCTATGGGGTTTGAAGGGGGAGGATGAAGGAGCTGGGCTTTTGCAATCAATCATTGCAGAAAAGCTTGGCCCCTTTCAGAGAAAGATCTGGATTTCAACTCCGTCCCTAAGAAAATTGCAGGGACTGCAGAGCTGCTGCCATGCAAGGCAGCAAGAAAACAGGCAGAACAGAGGCAGCAGCTGGAGATGGAAACGCCTATTAAATCCTTTAGACAACAGATGGGCAAAGCTAGCTAGGCTGCCTTTGAAAAAAAGCAAAAGCAGAACACAATGCACCATGTTTGATTGTCCCACCATAATGAGCAACACTTTCACACCCAGAAGCCCCGGAGAAGATGCCTTTGGTGTGTGTGTGTGTGTGTGCATCCAAGCCCCAGCCCCCTTCCATCCATTCTGAGGGTTGTGTATTGAAACCTGGGGGTCGGGCAAGAATCCCCTACCTACACCTGGGACCAAAAGAGAGGTGGAAATCTATGAAAAGAAAAAAAACTGCCGGGCAGAGATTGGAAATGTTTGCAATGCTCTTTCCTCTCTTTGCAATCACAGCTCTCCTGTCCTTGAAGTGAATCTACCAAAGCAGACAACCAGCGACTCCAAGACTTGAATGCACGGAGGGGATCTCATTATGTCAGGCCGGGCAAAAGCACCTGCTCCCAGCTCTACATTTCCCCCTTGATGATTTCTTGCCATTATTCCTTTCAGGCAACCACAACAAACCACTACAGCAGGCCGTTGCAGAAAAGGGACCACCTTACATTGACAGGAAGAAGGAGAGGGGGGGGGGGCTTCCACACAGCCCTATATCCCAGAATATCAAGGCAGAAAATCCCACAATATCTGCTTTGAACTGGGTTATCTGAGTCCACACTCAGATAATATGGTCTTTTCTGGGCTATAGGGCTGTGTGGAAGGGCCCTCTCTCTCTCCTTCTTCCTGTCAATGTAAGGTGGTCCCTTTTCTGCAACGGCCTACTGTAGTGGACTTAGGACCCTTCCACACAGCGCTATATCCTGGAATGTCAAGGCAAAACCCCCCACATTATCTAACTGTGGACTCAGGGCCCTCCCACACAGCTATATAACCGAGAATATCAAGGCGGAAAATCCCACAAAACTGGGTTATCTGAGTCCACTCTCAGTTAATGTGGGATTTTCTGACTTGATATTCTGTGCTATAGGGCTGTGTGGAAGGGCCCTCAGATGACTGAGAGTCCTTCCACACAGCCCTATATCCCAGAATATCAAGGCAGAAAGTCCCACATTATCTGAGTGTGGACTCAAATAACCCAGTTCAAAGCAGATATTGTGGGATTTTCTGCCTTGCTATCCTGGGATACATCCAGGGCTGTGTGGAAAGGCCCAGAGATGAAGACAAGTCAAACATTTAGAGGAGGTATTGTCAAAGGCTTTCTGAGGATGCCCTGCCATAGATGCAGGTGAAACATCAGGAGAGAATGCTTCTGGAACATAGTCATATAGGCCGGAAAACACACAACAAGCCATCTAGAGGAGGGTTTCGGGGATCTGTTTTCTTGTTCCCAGCTACTCCCCCCCCCCCTTGCAATGGTGTTAGAAATGCTTTCCAGAGGAGGAGGGAGGACAGGGCTGCAGGCTGTGAGGGACACCTTCTCCCCAAGCAAGACACCACCTGGCACCTCCACCAACTGCACCTGAAGGGCTACACCCTTTTCAATCATGATGTCATGAAGCGGTGCTGGTGGCTCTGCCGTGTGTGTCCCTTAGCCAGGCGAGGTGTCCTTTCTCCCTTTCCCCACCTAGGCAAAGGCAAGGCATCCAAGTGGTGCACTGGAGCAGCGCCCGATCCACCGGCGCCCCTCCCCGCCTGCACTTTGACGGCCACCACAAGGCCACCCCCTTTCCGGGAGGATCCACACAAAGCAACCCAAGAGGGGCCAAACAACACTCAGACTCCCCCCAGAGGACCGAGTTCGGGGGTGCTGGGGTTGGGGTTGGAAGAGGCGCACCGGCCCACAAACAAACCACCTTCAAGTCCAACCACCTCTGCCCAGAGGCCACCGCAAAAGACCAGGGGAAGCCCCCCCCTCTTTCCACCCGTGCCGGAGGAGCTGCCGCCACTTCCTCCCTGGGGAGGAGCACCCACCTGTCTGCCCTTTGCCCAGGGTCTTCTCCAAGCGGTAGGGTCCCACATATTGTGCGTGCTGAGCCCCGCTGCCTTCCTTGCCAGTGGAGGTCATGTCTACCTGGCGCTGGGAAGGTTGGGCGCCTGGGGTGGTGCTTCGGGAAGGTCTGGGATCCCTTTGCTTGCCCTCCTCTTGCCACTCGCTGCGGTTCTTTAAATCCCTTTTGCCGCTGCGCACGCAAAGCACCCAGCCTGCCTGCCTGCCTGCCTTCTTTCCTTGCGTGCGTGCGCCTTTCTCTCTCTCTCTCTCTCTCTCTCTGGCTCTTTGGCTGATCTTCGTCCACTTGGATGGAGATGCCTTCCTCCTCCTCCTCCTCCTCCTCCTCCTTTTCCTCCGCTTTGCCTCTTCCTTCTCACTTTCTGCCTCGGAAGCGGATGCCCAGGAGCGGGGACGAGCCCGCGTTCAGTGGAGCAAGGGAAGAGCCGGCGAGGCTGGCAGAAGCAATAGGAGCAGCAGCAGCGGCATGGTTACTGGTCCCCCGCACTCCTCCTCCTCCTCCTCCTCCGCCTGCCTGCCTGCCTGCCTGCCTTCCTCCTTCTCTCCAGGAGGGAGCTGTTCAGGGCGAGCGGGAGCGGCGGAAGAGCGGGGCCCCCTTGGCTCCGACTGACGGCGCGGGCAGCCAATCCCCGGCCGCACCTCCGCCCCACTCCCCGCCCCACTCCATTACCTTTTCTTTGCCATCAGCATCAGTGGCTGCTCCCGCCGCCGGAGAGCCTCGCAGCCAATGGCGGCAGGCGCCGAGGGAGCGAGCGAGCGAGCGAAAGAGCGAACGGGGAGAGGATGCCTCCCTTCTCCCCATCGAAGGTCAGCCGCTCATCGGAAGGGACGCAACTCTGCCCCGTTGGAAACTTTCCCCGACTTGCGCATCTCGGAGTCAAGTGCAACCAAGACCGAGGGACAGCCAAGACTCCAGAAGACAGGAGCAGAATTCAGAAGGATCGGAACAGATTAGAGAGGTGATTGGCCAAAACTAACAAAATGAAGTTCAGCTGAGACAAATGCAAGATACTCCACTTAGGCAGAAAAAAATGAAATGCAAAGATACAGGAAGGGGGCAGATGCCTGCCTCGAGAGCAGTACCTGTGAAAAAGTTCTTGGGGTCCCCCTGGACAACAAGTTAAACATGCGCCAACTATGTGATGCTGCAGCAAAAAAAAAAAGCCAATGGGATTTTGGCCTCCATCCAGAGGTGGCCCTAGGTAATTTTCAATGGTAAGCAAACAGTATTTTGGCACCCCCGCCAACCAATCACTGATATATATTTTCTGTCGTGGGAGTTCTGTGTGCCATATTTGGTTCAATTCCATCATTGGTGGAGTTCAGAATGCTCTTTGATTGTAGATGAACTATACATCCCAGTAACTCGCATATGTCAAGGTCTATTTTCCCCCAAGAGCGCCTCAAGAGTACTCCAGGGCAAAATCAACTATACTGCAAATGCTTACTTTGCATAATGGGTTGAGCCGCCCCTGCCTCCATCAATAGGAGTATAGTGTCTAGATCCAGGGTCATGCTTCCCCTCTATTCTGCCTTGGACAGACCACACTGGGAATATTGTGTCCAATTCTGGGCACCACAACTGAAGAGAGATATTGACAAGCTGGAATGTGTCCAGAGGAGGACAACTAAAATGGTCAAGAGTCTGGAGAACAAGCCCTATGAGGAGTGGCTTAAAGAGCTGGGCATGCTTAGCCTGAAGAAGAGAAGACTGAGAGGAGACCTGATTTGTTGTTTTTGTTCATTCGTTCAGTCGTCTCCCTGTCAGCCGTCACCACCCCCAGCTCCTTCAAGGTCAATCCAGCACTTCAAGGATGCCATCCATCCATCTAGCCCTTGGTTGGCCCTTCTTCCCTTTTCCTTCCTTTTCCCCCAGCATAATTGTCTTCATCAAGCTTTCCTGTCTTCTCATGATGTGGCCAAAGTACTTCATCTTGGCCTCCAATATCCTTCCCTCCAATGAGCAGTTGGGCTTTATTTCCTGAAGTATGGACTGGTTGGATCTTCTGGTGGTCCAAGGCACTCTCAGAACTTTCCTCCAACACCACAGTTTAAAAGCATCTATCTTCCTTCACTCAGCTTTCCCTATGGTCCAGCTCTCACATCCATAGGTGACTATGGGGAATACCATTTCTTTAACTATGCGGATCTTCGGTGCCAGTGTGATGTCTCTACTCTTCACTATTTTATCGAGATTGGTCATTGCTCTCCTCCCAAGAAGTAAGCGTTTCCTGATTTCCTGGCTGCAGCCTGTGTCTGCAGTAATCTTTGCACCTAGAAATACAAAGCCTGTCACTGCCTCCACTTTGTCTCACTCTAGGAGACATGATAGCCATGTATAAATACATGAGAGGAAGTCATAGGGAGGAGGGAGCAAGCTTGTTTTCTGCTGCCCTGGAGACCAGGACACGAAACAATGGCTTCAAACTACAAGAAATAAGAGTCCATCTGAACATTAGAAAAAACTTCCTGACTGAGAGCTGTTCAGCCCCAGAGTGTGATGGAGGCTTCTCCTTTGGAACCTTTTAAAGAGAGCTGGATGGCCATCTGTTGGGAGGGGTGGTGCTCTGAATGCAATTTTCCTGCTTCTTGGCAGGGGATTGGACTGGATGGCCCATGAGATCTCTTCCAACTCTATGATTCTATGATTCCGTAAATAAGGACAAGGTGTTAAAAAACAACCCCAGACAGACACAGGCAAAGAGGTGTCACAAAAATATCATTGCAGATTTGATAAATGTGGATTTAATATGTGTGGGAATGAATGGAAGAATTGAAGGATGTATGGATGGAGCTAATAATTTTGGAGACACCAGTATAATATTAAGGCCTGCAATGACTAACTACCTGCTTGCTGGACTGTAATTAAAAGTTGCTAATGAGAAATGAAGAGTAAACTCTGATAAGAATTGGGACAGTGATAACAGAAATGTTTACAATGTTAAGAAGGAAATCAACATAAGATCAACACCAATCAAGAAGATCAACATTTGGCCAGGAAACCGAGATGGATCCAGGATGGAAGACATTTATCATTCATTTACAACTTTGGGACTACATCAGCAAAAGATTCCTATAAAAGACTCAGTCTAATAATGCTCAAATTGTGACAGACAGAGACACTGTTCACCCGATATGCTCTGCTCCATGGGAAGGAGAGAGATAGTGTACTTATGGAGAGTGTCATATATGCTATTGAAAGCATGATTCTGGTCTCTTTGGGGCTTCTTTCTCAAGGGAAGAGGCAGAAGTGTACTTTTGAAGTCTTAGATTTTGTGCAGGGAGTCAGCTTCTGTTGTATGGAAAACAGAGATCTGGTCCTTGGCATTGTTCTTAGGGAAAGAAGTTTTGGCATTTCGGCGTTTTGAAGTTATGGAAGTTATGGAACTATGCGTTGGAAGGGCTGCAGGAAAGCAGGGTTTGGCCTAACAGGTGCTTCTCCAAGGAGGGCGGAAAGGATATGGTAATATTTGAATGCTTGAGGATGAATGCGTGTACATGTGTAGTGAATGTTGAGTGAAAATGTAATTCCCCTTTGTTTGTTTGTTAGCCATGTAATTGTAAATCCAATGTAGTTGCATAGAATGTGTATGTCTGTATGTCTAATGTCATTCTTTGTCTAAATGTTTTTCTGTAATCTGAAATATTCTCTCACACTGGAAATTGCAATAAAAAGAACCTATGCTTTTAAGTAATTGAAAAGTCATTCATGTCAGAGGAAGAAATCCCGCTGGAAAGAATCCTGCACCAGGGGCAGGGGAAGGATACCTTAGCTCATAGGTAGGACTTCAGAAGGTTTAATGTGTTATCAAAGGCTTTCATGACCAGAATCACTGGGGGTCCTTCCGCACAGCCATAGGTAAAGGTAAAGGTTTTCCCCTGACATTAAGTCCAGTTGTGTCTGACTCTGGGGGGTGGTGCTCATCTCCATTTCTAAGCCAACGAGCCAGCGCTGTCTGTAGATACCTCCAAGGTCATGTGGCCAAAATGACTGCATGGAGCGCCCTTACCTTCCCGCCAGAGCGGTACCTATAGATCTACTCACATTTGCATGTTTTCAAATTGCTAGGTTGGCAGAGGCTGGGGCTGACAGCGGAAGCTCACGCCGCTCCACGGATTCGAACCTGGGACCTTTCAGTCAACAAGTTTAGCAGTTCAGTGCTTTAACGCACTGTGCCACCGGGGGCTCCCCCACACAGCCATATAACCCAGAATATTAAGGTGAGAAATCCCACAATATTTATTTATAATTTATTTATTTAAAACATTTATATTTCGCCCTTCTCACTCCAAAGGGGACTCTGGGCGGAGCACAACATACAAATAGCAAACATTCAATGCCGTGATATGAATTCATTATATGCATACATAAACATTAAAAACCTTTGTCTCAACATTAAAATACACTGTTTAAAACCACCTTGATCATCTGTGTCTAATATAATTGGTCTGGTAAGGTTTCCTGTCACTGCTTTATTGCACTGTCCCGAAAGCTTGGTTTGAACTGGAATATATGGCAATGTGGACTCAGATAACCCAGTTCAAAGCAGATATTGTGGGATTTCCTGCCTTGATATATGGCTATGTGGAAGGGTCCTAAGTTGCTGTAAGTGTTCCGGGCTGTGTGGCCATGTTCCATAAGCATTCCCTCCTGACATTTCACCTCAGGAGTTGGACTGGGTGGCAACTACAACTCCCAAATGTCAAGTTTTCTCCAAACTTCACCAGTGTTCGATTTTGGGCATATTGAATACTCATTCCAAATTTGGTCCAAATCCATCATTGTCTGAGTCCACAGTGCTTTCTGGATGTAGGTGAACTACAACTCCAAAACTCAAGGTCAATGCCCACCAAACCCTTCCAGTATTTTCTGTTGGTCATGGGAGTTCTGTGTTCCAAGACTGGATCAATTCCATTATTGGTGGAGTTCAGAATGCTCTTTGATGGTAGGTGAATTATAAATCCCAGCAACTACAACTCTCAAATGACAAAATCAATCCCATCTCACCCCACCAGTATTCAAATTTAGATGTATTGAGTAACTGTGCCAAATTCAGTCCAGTGAGTGAAAATACATCATGCATATCAGATATTTACATTGTGACTCATAACAGTAGTAAAAATACAGTTATGAAGTAGCAACAAAATAATTTTATGGTTGGGGGTTACCACAACATGAGGAACTGTATTAAGGGGTCATGGCATTAGGAAGGTTGAGAAACACTGTTCTAATATTTTCTAGATCAAAAAGCAAGGGACAAATAATTATATTAAAATATTTATTTATTTATTTATTTATTTTGACATTTTTACCCTGCCTTTCTCCATCCTGGAGGGAACTCAAGGCAGCTTACACATAGGCAACTATTTGATACCACAAAACAAAGTACAACTAAAGTAAACATTTAAATAGAATTGTAAAATACATTAAAACAATAAAAACATTTAAGACAATATCTTCACAATTAATCACATAATCCTCAAAATAAAATAAAACAACTAAAATAATGTC